AAAAAATTTAAACATTGAAGTACATACAAAATACTGAATACCAATTTGAGCCATACGCATTGAATAATAACAAAATTATATTTATATTTATACATTATTGTTTTAAATGTTTTTCTCTACAGAAAGTCTAATAATTTATAGATATGTTTCTTTTATAAATTATGTTTAATTAATAAAACGGTAAAGGAAATTTTAATAACGTACAACGTGTAAATGTAAGAAATAATTTCTTCAGTATTGTTGATGTAAAAATGTATTTTTTCTATGAAAATATTGAACTTACATCTTAGTGTGTGGAATCCAGGGCCTTTGCCGGAAAATGTCGAGCCAAGTTTGAGTTCGGCTGGCTCACTACCGAATGATTCCAGTGAATCGAATAATTCATCATCCATTAGATACGTGTCGTTTACAAACGAAAGAGTTGAAATGAACAAATCAAGTTCAGTGAACGATTCTACAATCTCCATTCACCGAATATGTCATATGTCGTATGTCTGAAATTCCAAAACGTTTTGCGACGAAACGAAACGATACGGTGCATTTGATAACCTTGTAGTCGTCATATCAGTAATTCATCATTTGGTACACAGTGTTCTGAAACGTTGCAGCACGCAAAGAACGGAGTGCAACAATAACATTCAGTGTTGAAATTCTGCGTATCGTATGATATTCTGTTATCAATAATTGAATACGCGAAATATTACGTAGATAGCTGTTATCATATTCGTAAATTTTTAACACGGCAGGCCAATATTGCCTATTACAAATTTTAACTACCACTGATTAAATAACTTACTTAATAACTTATTAAGGGATCCCAGATTTATATTTTAAAAATACGGGAAATTTTAAATCATTTAGAAATTCTTATTGGTGTTAATTTGGGAAGGGGACTTATGAAACAATTAACATATTACAAAATTAAGTATATGATGTTATACAAATTCTTTATAAACATTTGGAACTATAATTACATTTGGTCTCGATGTAACATTTTATTTTCCTCACAGTTACTAAATATACTATAAAATAAAATTAAACACAATATTTGATAAAATTCAAACAAATAAAAATTAAAATTAAAAACAAATAATTAGGTGACTCTTTCCTATTTTTTTTAGATTTTTTTTTATATCAAATATTATTAATTATCATTTAATTTAGATATTATAGTTTATCAATAATATAAAATATAAAAAGCTTAATGATATTAAAAAATTTAATTTTTAAAATGAGGCACATACGAAATGGATTATACAAAAAACGGACAAAAGTGTTATTTTTATACTTGTGTCGGGACTAGGACTGCACGATTATTTTTTTCCCCACAATAATCGAATATTAGTTAAATGTTCGATTATAATCAATTAATCGAATAATCTGAGAGTATTCGATTTTTATCCGAAATGACGAATAATCGAACACTCGAATAATCGAATAATCATACTTATACTACACAATATATTAGTGATCTAATACTAATAATTTACCAATATTAGTAATCAAATAAATAGTCTGGTTTAAACGATTTATTCATAAAAACATAAAATAAACTAATACAACAAATATGAACTGCCGTTTACCTTAAGGGTCAGTCTTAATCTTGAAGTTAAATTAAAATAAAATAATATTTAAAACACTGGTTAGCTATATAGTTCTTATTCATAGTTATAAAATAAGCTGACTGGCATGTTGGTTAGTTAACGATGATCTATGATCAGTTAATATACATCCCCCTTTACTAAAAATACGTTCAGACGCTAAGCTTGTAGCTTGAATGATCATAACTTTTTTTGCTGAAACGAACATAATAGGGTAAGTTGTCTTGTTTATGTTCCACCAATCTAGTGAATCTTGTTCAACACCGATTTTTGGATTGTTAATGTATAAGTCCAATTCATTTTTTATTTTTTGGCTTAATGGAACTTCCTACAATGATAAAATTAAAAAAGTAGTAACAATAAAGTAAAATAATTTATCTTCAAATTCTTACTTGAAAATTATCCATATTATTATTTTCAGGAGTACCAAAAATTACAGACAACCCAGTTTTTGGTTTTTTTTGTGATGCCAGTTGATTAGAAATATTGTTGACGTAACTATCACTTTCTATACGCTCGTATGTTGTTTCACAAAATTCAGCGATGGTTTTCTTTAAAACCGATAAATCATTATACTTAATGTACTCGATTTTGAACCTAGGATCCAATACGGTACACATAATCAGTAATGCGTTATCTTGATAGCGTTGATCTAGAACCTCAATAATAGTTGTATACATGTTTTTAATTTGTCCTCCATTGATATCCGTATCATCACTTTCATTTAGTTGTGTTATTTGAGATAATTTTGATTTAAG